TCTTTCCCTTTGGATTTCTCTGTCACCCCATCTTGCCCCAATCTGAGTCGCTCTGGTTTTCCATCTGTGTCATTCTTTATGTGTCTCTCATTCTGTTTCTGACTTTCCCGTCTCTTGTTCCCTTAGGCTCCATTCCCATCGGCTTCTCTCTGTCTCCTCCTGCTCTGCTTTCTGCTCTGTCTGTCTGGTTCCGTTTGGACATCCCCCATCTCTGTTCTCTTAGCCTCCCAGCCAGTCTGTCTGTCTTGGCTTTTTCCTCTTCCTCCCCTCCTCTTCCTTTCCCTTTCTGTCTTCCCATCTCTCTCCCCATCTTTTCCTTTTCCCCCACTTCTCTTATTCTCACATTTTTCTCTGTCTTCCTCTCCCAACTCTCTCTGTTCAGTCACCCATTCAACCAGTAGTTGGTAGCGCCCCTCAATGGGCTCATTCTTTGCCGGCATTGCCCCTCATTTCTTTCTGCCCCTGCTTGCCCATCTCTCCCTTTATGTTTCTCTTTTTCTCCTAAGTCTCAGCTCCCTCGTGTTTTTTTCTTCCCCTCTCTCCAAAATCAGCCCCTTTTCTGCCTCTCCTCCAGCTCTATCTCCCTTCTTTCAATCATAAATTTTTCCAGGCCCCTCCACTCTCTATAATCTCCCTCAATATCTCTCACCCCTTCATATATCCCTCCCAAGACCTATGTCTGAGTTTTGACATCTAGGAATCCAGGGAAGGCCCCCTGAACTGCATCTCTGGTCCAGCACTGGTTCTAGTTCATCCTTAATCCCTTTGGATTTTTTAGGTCAAACACCAGAGCTGGAGCCGAGGGTCAGGACAAATTCATATTCTCTCTCTCTCTCTCTCTCTCTCTCTCTGTGTCTCTTTCTCTCTCTCTCTCCTCCCTCCACCCCCCTGCCTCCCATCTAACTAAGCAGCTTTGGCAAGAGGTTTAGAGAACAGTCCAGGGAACGTGGCACAACCCCCTTTTCTCTTCCTCCCTGGCCCAGTTTTCCCCCTCACTCCCCTAGCCCACAAGATACGGATGAGACCTCTGCTTGGGACTTTCATCCAAGGACACTTGTTTCCTTGCCCCTGGATCACATTCTGTGACATAACACATGTCATTCCCTCTCAACTCAGTGACACATCCCACTGGCCAGGCAGCCTAGAACCCCAGAGGATGGGACAGTCATTGCCTCTCTCCTGGGCCAAACACTGTTCAAACAAGCAACGTGAGCCAGCGTCTCTCCCCAGCCCCTGGATGTGCAGCCAGCCCCGCTCCCCACCCCCAAATTGGAACTTCCAGATCATACAGCATATACTAGCTCCTGGCTCAGAGATGCAGGACACAGCTCCCTACATCCTGGTCCTGTCCCTAGGACTTCCCAAGACCCACAGGAACGTAAGAAGTGGAGATGCTACTGCTCAAGCATGTGTTCCTCTGCTCCTGGCTGATACCTTTCATTCATTCACTCAACATATATTCTCTGAGCATCTTCTCTATGCCAGCACCATACCGGACCGAGATGGGGACACAAGCAGTGACTGAGACACCCCAGCCTAGCCCTCCCGGATCTCACATCCCAGTGGGGGAGATAAACCGAACACCATTGATGACCTAGAGTGGTCAGAGCTGGGACAGGGAAACCCAGAGGATGGAGGGAGCCCAGACAGGGCACCCGACCCAGCCTGAGGAGATCAGGAAGGGCTTCCTGGAGGAGGAGGCCAGAATAATAAGAGTGAGCTAGGTAAGCAGCAGTGAAGGGTGCTCCAGGGAGATGAAAGAGCATGTTCAAAGGCTGGGGGTGGGGGTTAGTTTGTTCAGTGTGGCTGGTGAAAGGACCGGTGAAAACTGATAATAGAGAAATTGAAAGGGTCCTCTGGGCCTAGTTGGTTCTGTCTCTCTCTCTCTCTCTCTCTCTCTCTCTCTCACATACACACACACACACACACACACACACACACACACACACTGATGTGTCTACTCCATGAAACAAAAACCTACCTGGTCTTTACCCAAAGGGAGGGGTAGAACACACAAAGGGTGTCCCCTCCTTGATACAGAAACCCCAAGCCCCAGATTCAATCCTTCCCGGTCATACATGGAGAAACTTAGACCCAGAGGAGGCAGGTACCTGCCCAAAGCCACACAGTCTTCTGGGTAGTTCACCAGACATTCTAGTGATTCTAAAACTCCTCCTGATTTTGAGGAGCCGCCCGAAGCCCTGGACCCTAGCCCCAGAAGAAAAACGGACACATACACTTTTAAATTTTTTTTATTGATTTATAACATCTCTGCAGCCAAGTGCAAAATCTTAAGTGACTACTTAATAAATTCATACATACTCTTCTTTACCATCAAGAATAGAAAAGCAGAATTGCAATCATTGTATGCCTCTCCCCACCACACACACACACTCACACACACACACACACACACACTCCACCCACCCCACATCTAGCACAGGATGGCTCAATGGTTAAAAGCCCAGACTCTGAAGCCAGACACCTGGGTTCAAAACCCTGATCTTTCACTACTGGCTGAGTGAACTTGGACAAATCCCAGACCTCTGTGCCTTAGTGTCCTTAGCAGTAAATGAAGAATAATAATATTGCCTGCCTCATGTATTAAAGTGAACAGATACATGTAAAGTGCTTAGAATGATGCCTGGTGATTGGTGTTATGTAAGCACCAGCTGTTGTTATTAGATATTCTTTCAGGGTTAAACTGAGTCCCCCAAAGCCCCTGTGGACCCTGGTTAAGAACTACAAGTCTGTGAGATCACAGACTCCCTGAGCTGGAAGGAAGCCTCCCAGAGATGGAGAGCTGGGCCACTTCAGTCAAGCTCTCCCTGGGGCCACCCCACCCCCTAGTTCCCACCCTGACCCACACCCTTTCCTATTTACACCCAGACGGAGGCAGCCTGCAAGCTGACTCACGCTTGGCTCAGACCAAGCCATTGTTCTGGGGTGGAGGGGAGTAAGAGTGAGGAGCAGCAGCCCAAAGGAGATGGGGGATGTCAACTACACCGGTGACCCAAGACAGTGACACTCAGACACATGGCGAGACTCGCTTGCCAGGCTGAGAGATGGCAAGCAAGGGGTCAGGGTGGTAATACTAGCGTGCCACACTGGAATGCCCACAGGACACCAGACACTCACCCCCAAGTGTCCCAGACACACAGGCACACGGAGCCTGACGCACACTCAGGACCTTTTACAGACCCAGGGAGTTTACTGGTCCTGCAGAGAGATTCCCACCCAGGAAGAGACACACACACACACACCCCACACACCTAATACGTCCAAATCAGCCAGGCACTCACAGCTTCACCCCGGCCAGGCTTGGTGGAGTTTTCTTTGTCTGGCTGTAATTCAGACACTCAGACACACACACACAAATACATCAGTCCTCCAAACAGTCTTACATACTGACCCCTGGATCCGCCTGTTGGTCTCTTTCTCTTCCTCGTGTTCACACACATCAGTCACAGAGTCTCGCCTGTTTCCTATACACGCACCCTTACACATATATGTGCATTCCACATTCCACTCATCCAAGTAGTCTTTTGAACACCTAGGGGTGTCTGGATATCTCTTTCCCTTACACACACACACACACACACACACACACACACAGAGTCATACAATCTCCAAGTGCTATACATTCATTGTACAGCCTCAATGCCACTTCCTGGGATTCTTTGTTTCTTACTCTCAAACCCTTGGGCACACCCAGCTCAGTCTCACAAATAGTGTACATAACCTCGAACATCACAGCGACACCCAAAGTCTTTCCCCCCACACAAGAGTACACACAAAAGTCTTTACTGGAATCACTGTGTCACACAGTCTGTTTATATCTGTCTCTCCTGCTCTTTCTTTTACACACACACACACACACACATAAAGCTAATTGAGCCAGTCCTGCCCAAGTATACCCATGCACACACACACCACTCACCCAAACAGCCTCACAGATGTACTCACACTGATCAGTCAGTGTTACCCAGAGTCTCTCTCCCATACACATATATCCCAGCATCACCCAGAATTAGTGTCTCTTCTCCCTGCTGCCCGCCTCCAGTACACATAGTAAGGATGCCCAGGTCAGAACCACAGCCAATATCTGGAGAATCGCCAGCAAAGGCACCCACCTCACCCTGCTTTCTCCATCCCCCTGTCTCCACTCTTCCATGAGTTGCCTTTGCCCCACTCTGCTCTCCCCTCTCCACAGCCTTGCCCTCCCCCATCCCTCAGCCCTCCATCTGGTGGGTCCAGGCAGGCACTCAGGCCTCTGCTGTCTCCCCCATCCCCCAGTCCTTCCCCATCCTCTCCAAAAGCCCAGAGGCCGTTGCTGCAGGCTTTCAGGGGTTGCCATGGCAACGGGGCCTCATCCCTAGTCCCCCTGGGGGTGGGCTGAGGACCCAGCCAGCCACACCGATAAGGGGGTTCCAGTTACTGTGGCAACCGTTGCAGGCCTGAGCTCTCGGCTTCTAGAAGGTGGGGAGGGGGGAGTGAGTGAATGGTTGCCAAAGCAACCGAGAGAGCCGGCAAGGACTGGGAAGAGGCAGCTGAGCCCCGTCTCCCTTGCCCAGGGCTGCTGTGGGCATAGCAAAGTACTTAAGCATCATTCTTCCATCCCCTGGGGTTGTTTTAAGGGAGGGAGAGGAAGTGCAGATAATAAAACAGGGATTCCGCTCATTCTCCCAGCTACCCATCATGGTCTGGGAGCCCACGCCAGCTTGCCCAGGCCTACCAAGTGACCTGGGGCCAGTGAGGTCCACACTCTGGACCTCAGTCTTCTCCGTCCATTAAATGGGGCCTGTCTCTCAGGAATGCTCCCCTTCCTGTCTGATGAGTGTGCCCTCTCTCTCCTTTGCTCAACAGGAACCACAGAGCGAGTATGCCTGGTACAGGGCACAGCAGAGGCCTTGAATGCTGTGCACAGCTTTATTGCCGAGAAGGTCCGAGAAATCCCGCAAGCGATGACCAAGCCCGAGGTGGTCAATATCCTTCAACCCCAAACCACAATGAATCCTGACAGAGCCAAGCAGGTTAGCAGGGGCAGAGGCTGAGTCTGTGTAAAGCTGGTGGGGTTTGAGAGAAAACACTTCCTCCACGTCACTGGATTGCGATGGGGGTTCCATGGGATAATGGCTATAAAACATTTACCAGTCAGATACGTGGTAGTGGTTAGTATTATTGTTAGAGAGTCAGCCTAAGGACTCCAGACCTCTTAGAGTGATTTGATTCAGAAAAGAGAGTGAAGGTCTGGGAGAATCTGACCCAGACCCCCTTACTTATTCCTCCTTCCTAGGATTCTCCACATCCTTTTCTCTCTTCCACATCTTCCCATTGTCTCTCAAAACCACCTGCTTCCCACTTCCTGTTCTCACCGGAAGTAACCTCAGTGACACCCCCATCCATAGGCAGAAAATTTTAGAAATAGCCTCCGGTACTCCCTCTCTCCATTAATTACTGAATAGGAGTAGCCACCATTTTGGAGAAAAGGTGTTTCACTGGGTGGGGGCGGGACCCTCTCCTACACAGCCCTCTCAAGGAGGGATGGAAGGAGAAGGGCAGAGCCTCTCTGTTGCCTCAGTTACCTGGAAGCCGTGGTGTAGGGGAGTGGCAAGGAGCTGACCGATCGCTTCCTGGGCCTCTCCCGTTGCCAAGACCGCCATGCACACCGGGCAGGTGGGCTTGCTGCAAAGCCCCTGGCAGCACGGTCCTGACCGCGTAGAGGGCCAAGGAGGAAGAGAGGACGGGGTTGGCTGCAGTAAACTCCCCGTTTTCTCTCCCCTTCTCCGCTCCCGTATACATATGCACACGATGCACAGGGGCAAGATGACCCGGGCAGGCGGACAGGCCACTTGTGAGGGTTCCTTAACGTCTGCCTAAAAGCAAAGACAAGAGAGAGGGCCTCGGTAAAAGGAAGCTGGAATTACCGGGAATTCTTTTTGCCCTGAGGTGGGGGAGACCACGGGTCTGAGTTTCTCTGAGCTCGTGGGGAAAGAGTCGGCAGAAAGCTCTGGAAGAGCTTTGGAGCGGAGCGGTTCCCCCCAAAGACTGCGGGCTTGGGGCTTGGAGCGCGGCTGCTGTCCTTGGTGCTGAAGCATCTCTGCTCCTCGCGCCCTGCCAGGCCTCTCCCAAATCCCTTTCCACCAGCAGGCCACGGCTTACCCACAGTTTACAGGGAGGCGAGGATATTGCCTCTTCCCTCCGCCTTGGTCGTGGCCACTAGGGGCTCAGGGTTCATCAAGAGTTTGAACATGTTGCAGGGAAAATGGGGTCAGCACCATCTGTGCCTGAGCCTCCCTCTCCACCACCTAAGCCACAGGAAGTCTGAAATAGCAGAGTCGAAAGGTTACAGAACCAGGACTTTTTCCTCTGCCTTATTACTCCGGGGCTCCAAAGAATGAGAGAGAGAATGGCTGAAGGCTCAGGCTCTGGAATCAGATGTTGAGTTGAATTTTCCTCTGATACTTCTTGCCTGTGTGACCTTGAGCAGGTGACTTGATTTCTCCTTGTAAAATGAGATTTATTACGGTACCTACTTAAGGGTGGTGGCTAGTGTTCATTAACATTTGAAAAGCACTTATCATGCATGCCTAATGCATAGAAAGTTCTCAAAAAATGTTCGCCGTTGTCGTTATTATGGGACTTTTGAGTCAGGAGGTAGGTCTATTCCCTTTCTGCCTTGGACTTGCTGTGTTGCTCTGTGTCTTTTTCCCTTCTGTATGCCTCAGTTTCCCTTTCTTTACAGTGGGGAAGCTGGGCCGAACCAGGGATTATAAATGGAAATGCCTCCAGGATTCAGAAAGGGAACATAAAGCATTGAGGACCGTGGACTCAACATAGAGATATCATGCCATCCCTAAAGGGGGCAGCTGCTATTCAGCTTCACTTGATTCTTGCCATTTGGGAATGGGCACAGAGTATTACATCTTCCCCATTTTTCCAGAGAAGTCAAAAATATTTTCAATCAATTGATTTTTCAAGGTTGGCTCAGTTTTTAAAACACTGTGTGGCTGTGGGCTGTCTATGGGCTGAGCGTCACCAGTTTGCCACCTCTGGGCTAGACCTGCGATTCTCAGCCCTGGCTGGTATCTGAGTCATCTGGGTAGCTTAAAACACAGACTCCTGAGTCGTGGCCTGGAGCCACTGAATCAGAGTTTCTGGGGAGAAGGCGTGGGGATCTGAACATGGACTCTGGCCTGGGATCAGATCCTGGCTCTACTGGTCACTATCTTTGTGACCTTAGGCAAGTTACTTAACCTCTCTGTGCCTCCGTTTTCCAATCTATGAAGTGTGATAATAACAGTACCTACCTTGTAGGGTTGTTGCTAAAATTAAGTTAGTTACTCTATGAAAGTATTTTAAAACGTGCCTGGCACATGGTAAGCCGTGTTAGCGGCTGCTGCTGTTATCGTTGTTGTTGTTATTATTATTTTTTAATCTCTAGACTTGCAAACCTCTGAGGCAGATGGTCTCTGAGGTCTTTCTGGCTCTAAGACACCTACAATTCTATGGCTCTGTGATTCCAAGATTCTAGACATGTATTATTCTAGCAGTCTACTGTTCTAACATCCAAGATTCCATAGAACTGCATGTGCAGATCTAAGATGCTGTGGTCTTGCGATCTGGGCCTATCATGAAGGCAGCTACTGTTTTCTGAGGGCTTCCCATGTGCCAGGCACTAAGGGATCATTTTAGTCATTGAATATTCTCAATAATTGTATAGAGTAGCTGTGGTTATGTCAATGTCAGAGATGAGGAAACGGAAGCACAAATAGGTGAAGGCATTTGCTTCCACCATTTCTTGGCGAACACAGTTCCTTGGATGAAAAGGTTCCATCCTTCCCCCATTGCTCTGAAATGCTGTATCACATACTAAATACCTCTTTACCCTTAGGCCTGGTTTTGTACATTTTTCTGTTCTATCCCCTTGACTTGTCAGACTTCTTTTTTTCCAATGATTTCTTTAAAATAACAGCTATATTGAGATATAATTCACATACTGTAAAGTTCACCATTTTAAAGTGTGTAATTCAGTGGTTTCAGTATATTCACAAGGCTGTGCATTGATCACCACTATATAATTCTAAAACATTTTCACCACCCCAAAATAAAGCCCCATAGCCATTAACAGTCATTTTCCATTCCCCCAGTGCCTCTGCCCCAGCCCCTTCCCACCATTAATCTACTTTTAGTGTCTATGGATTTCCCTATTCTGAATAGTTTATATAGATTGAATGACATTTCTGTGGTATTTTGAGTCTGGCTTCTTTCCCTTAGCATAATGCCTTCAAGATTCATCCATACTGGGAATTCCCTGGCGGTCCAATGGTTAGGACTCCACGCTTTCACTGCCGAGGGCGCGGGCTCAGTCCCTGGTCAGGGAACTAAGATCCCCACAAGCCACGTGATGTGGCCAAAAGAAAAATTTAAAAAAAGATTCATCCATACTATAGCATATAACAAAACTTCATTCCTTTATATGGCCAAATAATATTTCACTGTATGGATATACCACATTTTGTCTATTCATCAATTGATAGAAATTTGGGGTGTTTCTACTTTTTAGCTATTATGAATAATGCTGCTAATGAACATATGTGTGGATGTATGTTTTCAGTTCTCTTGGGTATATACCTAGGGTGGAATTTGTAGGTCATATGATAAATCTACGTTTAACTTTTTGAAGAACTGCCAGACTGTTTTCCAAAGTGGCTGTACCACAGATGTGGGATTTAAATCCAGATCTGCCCATGGGGATAACAATGACAACAACCATTTCATGTGTACCTACTATGGGCACATATTAGTCGCCTGCTCTCATGACATCCAATGCTTGGCACATAGTAGGTGCTCAGCAAATGTTGCTAGTCTGAATGAATGGGTGATGACATGCCCATGGGGACCAAGCAGAAACATGACTGAGGGGAGGTAGTCTGGTGTAACCTGGCAGAGGTAGGCACTATGTGCCATCTGGAGGACAGCCATACTCAGTTCTGGCTAATTGTGGCCATGCTTGAATTTCAAGCTCATCATTTCATGCATGATCTCTATTAGACCTCATAGTAATCCTAGGGAAGAGGCATGAATATCCCCATTTTATGGAAGAGAAAACTGAGTTTCCAAAATATTAGGTCCCTTGGGGCTTTCCTGGTGGCGCAGTGGTTGAGAGTCCACCTGCCGATGCAGGGGACGCGGGTTCATGCCCCGGTCCGGGAAAAAAAAAGAAAAGAAAAGATTAGGTCTCTTGTCCAGAATCAGCGGTGGAGCCAGGAACTGAACCTGAGCAGGTGCCTCCAGAGTCCAGGGCAGCTTTTCAGGGATTTGTGTGCAACGGACGCAGACTGGTGGTCTGGCTGCTACACAGTGGTTCTTAGACGTTTTGAAGTGGTTACCAACATTTAAAAACTAGGATGCTTTGGGCTTCCCTGGTGGCACAGTGGTTGAGAGTCCACCTGCTGATGCAGGGGACGCGGGTTCGTGCCCCGGTCCGGGGAGATCCCACATGCCGCGGAGTGGCTGGGCCCGTGAGCCATGGCCGCTGAGCCTGCACGTCCAGAGCCTGTGCTCCGCAACGGGAGAGGCCACAACACTGAGAGGCCCGCGTACCGCAAAAAAAAAATAAATAAATAAAATAAAAACTAGGATGCTTCACATTTTACAAGTCAGAATTGCCAGTTAATCTGTAAAACTCATATCAGGCTGAATTTGAATATCACACACACACAGAGACCACCACCACCACCAGGTGAGATGCATCTGGCTGCCTACACCCAGTCCCATTCCTGCTTGGTCCTTTGGGCATTTCATCATCCATTCTTTCATCCATCCATTCATTCACCCACTCTTGGCTGAGTATGTGCCAGGCATTCCTCTAGGCACTGACAACCCAGCAGTAAACAATACAGACACAAATCTCTACCCTTGTGGATCTTAAATTCTTCCCTGGAGAATCAGAAAATAAGTAAATAAATAAAATGTATAGGATGTCAGAGAGTGAAAAGTATTATGAAGAAAAGACAGAGAAAAAGGAAAG